CTTCTCGGAACTCCTAAATCACGCCCTGCCGGCAGCACAGAACTTCAAAACACGCTGAGCCCTAGAAAAATCTCCCCAATGATGCGGATTCACCCGCTGATAAAAATACAGCGATAGATAAGACGGCCGTGCCGACCTTCATCCTTCTGGGTGAGTGATGGTCCCACCGCCGGTTTCGAAATGTTTGCGCCGAGCCGCAACCTTTCCCCCTTGTGTGCACTCAGAGGCGGACAGAATCCCAGATAAGCACCTGCTTTGCTCGCCCTTTATCTTGGCCTTTCGGACGGGGGCAGGCCCGCTGTTTGCACTGCAGCCCCCACAGGGCACCGAGCACAGGCCTGGGGCTGGCGTGTGCGTGCGTGTGACAGCGTGTCTCCATGACCGAGAGGTCTGTCTTTGCCTTCTGCGTCACCCACTGACCTCCTACAGGTCCAGGGTGAGGGTCTTGTGTCCGCCTGCCAGGTGCCGAGGCTTCAGTGTGGGGTGGAGTGGCCAGGGGCAGGGTGACCGCCGGAGTGCGTCCCCGTCGGCCGCCCGGGCCTCCGCGGAGAACGGGACGCCGCCGGGGCCCGGCCCTCTGCACCACCTGGCGTCCGCTGCCCCGTCTCTGTCTCGAGGGGGCCCACAGGGCCACCGGCCGCTGTGCGGTTGACAGGTCGCGTGTGCTCCGTTGCCTCTCGTGCTGGGCGGACCACAGAGATGAGGAAGGAAAGGCTCAAGGACAGCCCGGGGCACGGCAGGCCCGGGGCCACCACAGGGTCCCCTGCAGAGACCTGGCCGGGGGAGCCCGGGAGCACCTGCCGGGAGCCAGGGCCCCACGAGGCACGGGCCTTGTTGCAGCAAAACACGTGACATACGATTCACCGTTTCCTCCATCTTAAAGCTGCCTTTAGTGCACTGACAAGGTTGTACAGCCGCCACCTCTTGCCTAGTTCCAGAACCTTCCCTACAAGGAGAGCCTGTGACCCATCTGCACTCACCCCGTCCAGCCCTCCCCCAGCCCCTGGCGACCACTTTCGCTCTGTTTGTAATCGTGGTGCAATGCACACGGAATTCACCGTCTTAGCCCTTTCTAAAAGCGCGGCTCGGAGGCACACGAGGCTGCCGCCGCCCTCCATGCCCACGGCCTTCCCGTCCTCCCGAGCCGAAGCCCCGTCCCCGTGAAACGCCGACTCCCCGTGTATCTCCCCGGCCCCCGCCGCCCACTTTCCGTGCGTTTGACGGCTCTGGGGGCCTGCTGTGAGTGCAGTCACACGGCGTCCGTCCCCCTGCATGACGCTCCGCCGCGTGGGCACACCACGTGTTGCTCATTGGTTCCGTGTCGGCGGACACCTGTGTGGCTTCCGCCCGAGGCTGCCGTGGCCCCGGGGACAGGGAGCTCTCTGGACCTGGCTCTCGGTCCTTTGGGGACAGACCCAGAAGCGGAATTCCTGGGTTGCACGGTAATTCTCTTTTTTTCCTGGAGTGTTTTTTTTACTTATAGAGTATTATTAGAGAAGTTTTAGGTTCACAGCAAAGCCTCGTGTGTGGGGAGCCCACGGTTGATGTTTGGGGGAGCTGCCATGCTGGTCTCCCCCGCGCCGCGCCGTTCTGCCTTCTCCCCGCGGCGTGCGAGCCCTCGGGGGCGCGTGGTATTAACTTATTTACGTTTCATGGCTGCCCTGGGGCGGGCGGAGGGGGGTGGCATCTCGCCGTGGTCTGGATCTGTGTTTTCCTGGGATTAGTGACGATAAGACTCTGACGTGCTTGTTGGCTATCTGTGTATCTTCTTAAGAGAAACATCTATCCAAGTCCTTTGCCCGGTTTTAAAAGTTGGGTTGTTAGGAACTTTGCTTTCTAAAGTAATTTTAAATCTCACGGTGACGCCGCTGACAGCCAACCCTTAATCCACGCCCGGTCCCACACCTGGGACAGGAGGAGCCCGGGGTGGATCTGGGTCCATGCTCGTGGCAGGACAGACCCAGGCGTGGGGGGGAGGAGACGGGCAGCAGGTGGGCAGGCGACTGACCCGGGGCCTGCCTTGTCCGTGCTCTCGGGCCTTGTTAGAAAAGCACACAGTGCCATGTGTGGCTCCCACGGGGAGAGGTGGCTGCATTGGCCAAGGCCACGTGGTGTTTGTCCCCTTTCCCTGCATCTTTCCTGTCGCTGCTGTGAAGCTGGCCTGGGAGGGGCAGACCTGGCGGGACGTGGCCACCTTCCTGAGCACCGGGCATCCTCCTCTCGGGCACCTTACTGGGTCTGGAGGAAGGAGGGTGCTCCTTGGGGACACCTCCCACCCACGTGGCCGCTGCTGCCAGCACCCTCCAGCCAGCCCTGGCTCTGAGCGCCCTCTGGTTGCCTGGCTGTCCACAAGGCGACTCGAACACTGTGGCCCAGGCCTGTCATCCCCAACCTGTCCCCAGGGCCCCTGGGCCAGGCTGGTGGCGCTGGCCGTGCCTGGTGGTCCTCATCTCACGTCTGGGCTTCCTCCGCTGAGGCCCTCCGGCCCCTGGCTGCACCCATGCTGCCCGCTGCGGCAGGGCCACTCCCAGAGACACGCTGTCCCCTACCCTGGGTCCTGCCTGTGTGCCAGTGGCCAGCCTCCACCCCGGGGACTGGCCTCGCCCCCCACGTCCACTCCCAACCTGAGGACGCCGGCACTGTCTCCCGCCATGGGCTCCCGGCCCTCCCCTCCCCCAAGCCTCGAGGCTTGGGTGGTCGATGCGGCCTCTCCCGGACTCCCCCTCCTCTGCAGGCTGGGGGTGGGGGCGGTGATCGCGGGCCTGCCTCGCCGGGTGGGCCGGCGGCTGTGGGGGTCTGTGCTCCGGCTCAGAGGCCCCTTGTCCGCGAGGCCATCTGCACTCAGGAAGTGGCCTTCTTTGCTCTGAAGGACAGCGGCCGGGGCAGAAGGGGCCCCCTGTCCCTCGGGTCTGGCTGTGGTCTCAGCGCAGATCCTCAGTTCTTCGGCCCAAGGACGGCCCTCCCGTATCTCGGGGCAGGGACCGGGACCGCACTCCATCAATGTCCCAGAGGCTGCATCCTTGGCTCCCGCTCGGCCCCATGTGGGGCTTGCTGGGAGGCCTTCTGGGGGCTGCTGGTGCAGGGTGTCCCTCGGGGAAGGCCCCGGTTCTGCAGGCATCGGGGGGGCAGGGCTCCCGCATGTGGCCAGGGTGCGGAGCTGGCCTGGGAAGGGGGGTCCTCGGAGGTGGGAGGCAGGCAGGGGAGCCCCCAAGGCCTGGGGGCACCTGGGGCCAGTGGGAGGCTCTCGGGGGGAATGGTCTGCAGGTCTCTGCAAGGGGCGCTGGGTGGCAGCCCCAGACCCTGGCCCTGTGGTGAGGACAGTGGGACCCATGGCAGTTGCTTGAGCAGGGAAGGGGGGCCCGTGACAGGACAGATGTTTGCAGGCCCCAGAGAGGAGCCTGAGGGCCTTTAGTTCACCTTTGGGCTGTGCACAGGCAGGTGGGCCTGGGCCCAAGGACGGCCAGTGCACCACCCCCCAGTCTGCACTGCCCCTGGACCGGGGACAATGGCCTCTCCATCGCTGCCACGAGCAGACCCCGGGGTCCCGCTGTGGCCTTGGCCTGCGCACCCGCCCGATTGGAGGAGATAATTTTATCTCTGAGCAAACATGCAGGCCGAGGGCTCTGGCCTGGAGGTGGTGAAATGGCTGTTGCCCTCCCCCCTCCCAGCCCCGGGCCCTGCCGCGCTAATTAACCGGGCCCTTCCCCGGCGGCCCGGCCTGGGGCACGTTCCCACGGCAGCCGAGACGTGGGGGTCAGCGTTGCTCTGAGTGACTCCCACGCCCCCGGAGGGGCGTCCTGCGTTCAGGCACCGGCTCTCCCCGAGTGTCAGGCCGGGGTCGCGGGGGGGGGGCACACAGCCACGGAAAGCGACCCCGATCATTACTGTCTTAGGGCACAGGCCCACCGGGCACTTGGCATCTGCTTGGGTCAAGCCATTTTAAAACATTTGTCAAAACGAGAGCCGGCCTGTCCAGCGGTTGGCCGGCCGGGAGGTGTGTGGGCCACAGAGCTGGCAGAGCCCCTTGGGTGCCCCGTGGAGGCCACCGTGGGCCTGCCCGAGAGGGGATGCTTCGTGGCTTCGCCTTCCCTGGGGGGCTCTGCATGCCAGGGCTGGCCGGGGCGGGGCGTGCAGGCCCGCGGGTGCCACCTCCCCCCCGGGTGCCACGTTAAACGCTGATCTTGGCCGTAGACCCCACCTCGGCCCACCAAGATGGGGCTGTCCCCATTCGTGCTCCACGCTGAGGAAACTGAGGCTCAGGCTCCCAAGGCACCCCAGGGTGGGATTCACCCCGCTGGGAGCCTACCCCCTCCAGGCTTGGTGGAGTCGAGGGGTGGCCAGGCATCGGGGTGCAGTGGGGCTCCCCAAGGACGGGTGGCAGTGCCAGGCCCAGAGGCGGGGCTGGTGGGAGGTGCCTCTCGCTGGGGGTGCCTGGGGTTCTTGCCACCACAGCGGCCACCGGGACTTGGGCCTGTTGTCCATGGGCTTCCCCCACAGAGGGTCCGGCGTCCCACAGGTCCGGGGTCTGCTGCCGGGTGGGCAGAGCCCTGCGTGATGTGCTCCCCACACACACACCGTCCCTGCAGGAGATCGTGCCGCCCCCCCATACACACTGTCCCTGCAGGAGATCTGTCCACTGCCGGGTGGGCAGAGCCCCACGTGATGTGCCCCCCCACCCCCCATCCCCTCGCAGGAGGTAGTGGCCCCCAACACACACACTGTCCCTGCAGGAATCTGTCCACTGGCCGGGTGTGGCAGAGCCCTGCGTGGATGTCTCCCTCACACACACACCCGTCCCTGCAGGAGATCGTGCACCCCCGCTAACACACCGTCCCTGCAGGAGATCTGTCCATGCCCGGGTGGGCAGCGGCCCACGTGATGCACCACCATCCCTGCAGGAGGTGGTGCCCCCCACACACACACCGTCCCTGCAGGAGATCTGTCCACTGCCGGGTGGGCAGAGCCCCGCGTGATGTGCCCCCCACCCCCTGTCCCTGCAGGAGATCGTGCTCGTGGTGTTCTTCGGCACGGAGTACGTGGTCCGCCTCTGGTCGGCCGGCTGCCGCAGCAAGTACGTGGGCGTCTGGGGGCGGCTGCGCTTCGCCCGGAAGCCCATTTCCATTATTGGTGAGTCCCGCCCCCGCCCCTCCCCCGTGGATGTGTGGCCCTGGTGTCCAGGCTGGGAAGGACCCACGGCACGCCCACCACGTGACAGAGGCCGCGTGGGAGACCCCAGCTACTCTGACCGCCTGTGAAGGCACAGGGCCCCCCCAGGCCACCTCTGCACAGAGACATGGCTCATGGGATCGGGGGCCCTCTCGGCTTCCCAGGACCCTCCTTGGTTAGCGTGGCTTCGCGTGGCTTGGTGGCCGTGGCCCAGCCCTGAGGCTCCGTGTCTCTGATCCCTCGCAGGGCCCAGCATGAGGCCTGGCCGAGCTGGAGCGGGGGTGGGGGTTGGCTCCCCGTGGCCAGGAGGGAGGGCTGGGTCCGTCCAAACCCCACCCGAGCTGGGTCGTGTCCCTGTCACTGTTCCCTACCCTGCCCTTCCCCCAGATGCGGCGGGGGGGGGCTGGTGACGGCTGTGACACATGCCCCCCCCCTGTGTCCCGCAGACCTCATCGTGGTGGTGGCCTCCATGGTGGTCCTCTGCGTGGGCTCCAAAGGCCAGGTGTTCGCCACGTCAGCCATCAGGTGTGTCTGCGCTGTGAGCCGCCACCACCGCTGGAGGGGCCGCCCCGCCCCGCACCCCTCCCAAGCTGCGCGGGGTCTCGCCCCGTCCGCCAGGCTCTGACGTGCCCCCCCACCCATCCCCGCTGCCCCCAGGGGCACGGAGCCCCGGCCCCAGCCAGGCACTTCCTGGCCTCTGTGACCTGGGTGGTGACCTGCCCATTCTGGTGGCCCCCCTGCTCCTCTGAAAACTGGGGCGACCCCAGGCCTCCCCTGGGAAGGCAGCCTGGGGACGGAGGGACGTGCAGCCCCGGCCCTGGCCCTGGGGTCTGGGCAGGTTCGGGGCCAGGCCGTGCTTGGGGGGAGCTTGGAGGGGCCGAGTCCAGGAGGGCAGACGTGGCGGTGACGTGGTCCCGTCCTCGCGGACGTGCTCAGGGTCCTCCCACCCACGTGGGAGCCTGGCGGGGCTGGGCGCTCACCGCACCTGCGGTCCCCGGGCCCAGCAGGGGTGCCCGAGACCAGGGAGCCCGTCCCAGCCGCGCCGTCTGCCCGCAGGGGCATCCGCTTCCTCCAGATCCTTCGCATGCTGCACGTGGACCGCCAGGGCGGCACCTGGAGGCTCCTGGGCTCCGTGGTCTTCATCCACCGCCAGGTGTGTGTCCAGGCGGGTGCGGGGCGCCAGGGTGGAGGACGGGGGCCAGGGCGCCTGGGCACAGGCACGGGGCCCGGGACCCCAGAGCCCGAGTCCGGGTGGGACACTGCCCCCCCACACACACCCACGGGGCCACTGTCCCGGCCTGCCACGCTGGGGACGTGGCTGCCTCCCTTTGAGCTGGGGACACAGGACCGGGGGGCAGATGAAAAGACAGAAACGTAGGGGAGGGAAAAACGCCCAAGAGACCCAGAAACCCAAACCCAGGCAACCGAGAAGCCCCAGGGCGGGCGAGGCCACGGACACCCTTTCCTGGGGCCACGGCAGGTGCAGGCTGCACCGAGGTCCCTGGCTCCAAGGAGTGGGGAGCTGGGGGCTGCACCCCACTGCTGGCCCCGTCAGCGCCGGGTTCGGCCCCATTTTGAGGAGCGAAGCAGGCGGCCGAGGGGCCGAGCTCCCACGGGCGGGGCCGAGGGTCGAGGGAGTCGGGCGGTTTCGAGTCTGCTTTCCACGCGTGAGACCTGTGCGGGCCGACGGGAGCCGTGGGGTAGACGTGGTGGGGTCTGCGCGGGAGCCGGGGCTGACGGGTGCCCGCTTGCCGCTCTAGGAGCTGGTGACCACCCTGTACATCGGCTTCCTGGGCCTCATCTTCTCCTCCTACTTTGTGTACCTGGCCGAGAAGGACGCAGTGAACGAGTCCGGCCGCGTCGAGTTCGGCAGCTACGCGGACGCGCTGTGGTGGGGGGTGGTGAGTCTGGGCCCGTGGCGGGGGAAGGGGGGGTCCTAGG